TTAAGAGGAATTCATTCAAGAAATGGAAGTTTAGTTTAACATGCAAAAATCAGTCCATGTAAAACTTTTCCCCTGAGAATAAGAACAGGGTAGTCAATACACTCTAACTTATTCTACAATTGATTTTTTGTTGAAAACAGTTAAGGCAATTAAATGAAGAAAAAAAGCATTCAATAAATTGTACTGAAGCTATGGGTACTCCTAAAGCAGAAGGTGCAAAACTTTACATCATGTTACACAAGAAAAATAACTCCAAATAGATTACAGATCTGAAGGTGAAAGGCAAACTGTGAAGTATAGGAGATTATCCTCATGACTTTGGCCTAGGCAAGATTTTCTGGGCAGAACTATAAAGTATTAGTCATAAAAGACAAATCTTTATCAAAATTAAAGTTTTTCTCATCAAAGCACACCTTTAAGTAATAACTAAACAAGCCATACCTTAGGAAAAAGCTGTTGTCATTATAAATATGACAAAGTATGACATTCAGAGTATAAGAAGCAATATTCATAGTTCAAAAATAAAGAGCCAAACAAGCTACATGGAAATGTGGGGGTGGGGAGGAGCAAAATACTTGAATATTTCACAAAGGAAGATTTGTTAGTGGCCAAAAGCAGATGATGAAGTGTTGCCTTTCATCTTATTTCTCAGTGGAGGTAATGGGGCCAGCACATGGGTCAGGGCCAGCGTTTATTGTCCCCCGTCCTGAACCCCAATAATCCCTCCTGGCTATAGTTTTCAATCACACAGTAGGATTTCTTCTGAACTATGTCTCTCAGCCTGTGCTTCTCTAGGCAAACCCAAATATGTCTTCTTGGTAAATGAAGGTAACTTCATTTAAAGGTAACTTCTTTAAAGACAACATCTTGTTCTCCTAAGTTACTTCTTTCAGACTTTCTTACCCAATTAACTATAACATTCCTCCAGGAATCAGCTCAGCCAAGAGCGCCACTGCCTCATCTGCCCTGGCCAACATACACATTTAATTCCAGAGAGAAGGAAACCATCCAAGGCACCATGAGTTTGAAGGAGCTAGTACCAAGATGACTCAAGCAGAGAGAAACTTACAGCAGATTCAACCTCACAGTGGCTTTCCTGAGCTCATGCCATTCAAAGTGGAGTGAGGTTGCCGCTCATTAGTCTTGCCAGCTGAGAGTCTCACACCAAGTTATTACACTCTGTTCACTCCACCCTGAGAACACATTCAGTTCCTGGACTGGAAATAAAGATTCCAGCTCCCTGCATTGAGCGGCTGATGTTTGATGTGCTCTCCAATCTAGCTCTTCCAGCTCTGCCAAATTGAGTAAAATATTTCCACCTCTGTCCCTGAGGCCATTACAGGCAATAAGGTGGCCAGATAGACACACATATATATACACATATAATTCTTTTTAATTGTACTGAACTTGGAGATGAAAAAAGTACTGCAATGCAACCAAATGAAATCTGTTAATAGAGATGTTCACACTGTGAAAATGGATTTTAGCCCTTTTCAGCATGGTTACTGAATCTAGCATCATTCGCTCATTCATTCCATAAATATTTCCTGATATCACTGTGTGTTATGTAGTGTATTTAGTGTCAGTAAGGCAAAATCCTTTTTTCCCAGTGTCTGAGTGAGAAGGAATCATATCAAGTAAATTGCAATATGTAGTGAATAATATTTGTGACACTAAACCTGTAAGCATAGATAGGTAAGTGGAGCACACATGTTTAGAATGCAAAGTGGGACCTGATTCAGACCTCAAGCTAGTGAAGAAATGGTTTGCAAGACAGAAGGAGTTTGAACAATTTATAAGACTGTCCCCAACTCTAATGGTAGAGTTGGCCAGGAGGAGGTAGAGGAGGGTTCATCTGAAAGAAGGAAATGTGTAAAGCCACAGAGACTTTAAACTGCAAGGGATTAAATTGTATTTCAGGAACTATAAGAAAATATCATGGCGGGGCTGGGGATTTAGCTCAGCGGCAAAGTGCCTGCCTGGCAAGCGCAAGGTCGTGAGTTCGGTTCCTGGTACCAGAGAAAAACCAAAAAAAAAAGCAAAACAAAAAGAAAATATCATAGCTACAGGGAATTGTATACATAGAACATATCCGCTACCAAACCACTGAAACTATTTAGTACACAAAATGCTATACAAAATAGTTTAGAAAGATACGTAAGAAAATATTTTGTCACTAACCAAAAAAAAAAAAACCAAGATTACAATTATGTTGAGGCAGATGATTATCATGCAAAAACAAATATTACCGGAAGACATAAAGGGAAGGAAAATACAAGACATATACTCATAATTAGAACTTCAGTTATCACGTTATTTTTAAAACTTTAATAATTTTATTAACTGAGTTTTCTGATTAAATAATCACATTTTCATCAATATTCTTCAATTTTTTTTCTTAAAAGTATACAATTCCCTAGCTTAAATATATAAACATTTTAAAATAGTGCTTGATAAATATTATGGTTTTTGTCTGGATGTCCCCCTAAAGCCTCAGGCAGTCATGGGGAGAGCTTCTAGAGTTTATGATTGATTCATGGTCCAATGCTGGGTTTATGGGTGTGAGTGCTACACCCGCCCTGGGTGTATCAGCTCTCTACTCTACATAATGGTAGAGATTTATGTCTTTTATCTAGATTGCTGCCTTCTTAACATTTTAGCTCATGTGTGATCTGCGTGGGTATCTCAGGCACTCAGCAGAGTACTCAGAACACAGCACAAAATCAATTAACAACTGTGGATTGAACCAAGTCTCCTTGTCACTGTCTCTTCCTTTAGAATATATAGAATGACATGCTAATGTGGAATTTCAAATGTTTTGTTCAAGTTTCACCAAACTGGAAATTTCTAAAGGAATTAATGAAGTGGTGTTCACCTATAATAACATCTACATCTTAGCGTTTAATCACAGTCTACATTGCATTCATATTCAGATAAGGTTAGACAACATTGAAAGAATACCTCAGACTGCTAAAAATTTCAGAAATCAACGTAAAAGAGAGAAAAACTCTATTTTAGTGAAAAGTGCCCTGAGAGTACTATAGTTAATTCACATTGGTATACGTGTCTTTCATATTTGCTCACTGAAGGACTCCAATAGGAGGAAGGAATGCTCACAGCCTGGCTGTCTACCTGTAAACAGGACAGGTCAGAAACAAAGGGAAAAATTCCAACAGGGAAGATGATGTGCAGCTCTCCCATCCCAGATGGGATGGTGCCAACCTACCAGGCAGCCAGCATGGTCTCTAGCTGAGGCGGCAAGAAGGAGAACATCATATCTGGTAGCACATCTCCGAAGTCTGCACATCCATCCAGAAACACATGAATAATCACCCTCACAGAAGCACTTGTCATCATGCCGGTGGTGCAGGAGAGGTGGGGGATATGGAGATAAGTGCAAGGCCTTGGGGAGAAGATCGGATAGACCCACATTACAGTCTAACATCATAAATTCTGGGGTGAAACGAAACAGCTAAAGTCCTTTGAGCGCTCATTACATGCCTATAGCCATTCAAAGAGCTTGACATGTAAGACTCTATCGTTGTTTCACAAAATCTTTTATCAGTGCATAAAACAGAACGCACTCTAGAATATCAAGAAGAAAGAACTTACCACAGGAACCTAGTTACAAATGTAATGGGAATTAATCCATGACAAATCTTGTAATCCAAGAATTAGCAAAAACAGACACAGTAGAGCCAAAAACTAGGGCAACCAGAAGAAGCTGATGAGCCTTGAAGGCAGCTCAGCAGGGGCTGGGACCACAGACAAACAGGTCCAGTCCCTTGCTCTGGTGCTTTAACCTTCTACCAGCACCTCTTGTCGACTGAATCTAGCTAGCAGGCAAGAAAATCTAGACAGTAAGTCTGCAGAGAAAGGTGAGCATTGTAATCTGAAAGCAATTTGGTAAGTGTGTGCTTTACAATGAGTGCTACTGTAAGCTCCATTATTCAGACAAGGAAACTGAGCCTAGGGTATTGGGGAGCAAAACAACCCCTGCAAGATCATACAGTTGTATTTCAGAGCTCATGGTCTTATTTCCTTAAACCTCCCAGTCAGTGACACACACATGAAGTTCAGTGGTATCATGAATCCATGCAGCTGGGGAAACAACGGCTGCTTCCCAGGGACCAAAGTAAATACTTGGTTGCAGAAAAAGAACTGCAGGAGAGACTTAGACTAAGAAAATGTGGCTATCTCAGGAGCAAGTACAGGGAATTAATAAACTGATGAGTGAATCCATTAAAATGAGCCACATCTGGGATGGAGAATAATTAGAAACCAAAAGCCAAGAGGCATGACTCTATCATCAAAGGGTATGCCCCGCAAACCTAGAAAGGAAGAGAAGACAATGGATGGCGGTCGATGTTTACTGATCCCTGGTTGCACTGCACAAGTGCATTGTGGGAATTATTTCCTTTCTTCACAACATATTAATGGTATGGGCACTATTACTGTATCTATTTAATAGATAAAGGATGGAGTTTCCTGGGATTATGTCACTTGCCTGAAGTTAGTCAGTAAGTGACAGAACCAGTACCCAAATCGTAGGTCTTCTAATTCAGCTGACATCCTTCCTGTTGCTGTTCTTACTGATCAAGGAACTGGAGTGGACAAAGCCTGCAGAACGAAAAGGGGGAGGAACCCTACAGAATCCCTTTACAGAGAGCTACAGAGCAAAAAGGCAGGGGAAGGGGCTGTTGGCTGGCAGGATTTGAATAATAAAACATAAAGTTATTGAGATGCCAACAAAAATCCTTTTCAAATTCTCCCTCTGCAAAGGCAATTCTGCTTGTACTTTGATCTTTGACCTGGACCCATACAATTAATTCCACATCATATTTCTGCGTATTGCTCTCCAAGGAGAATCGAGTTTACACTTCCCCCAGATTCAAACCATAACAGTACTTAATTAGGTGATAATTTATGTAGTACTTAGCATGAACTTTTGGCACTTGCTGGTGGAGGCTGTACAAGTGTACACGTGTTATCACCTGACTACATCAAGAAACAGGGCCTGGGCATTGGCGAGGTGTCTTGGGCTTTACAAGGTATCAAATGGCTTTTATAACCCTGTAGTACCTGGCTTTCTAGTAGGTGGAACTGTCTCTAGTGTGTATTAATATGCTGAATATTATGCCCACATGCACTTAAAACATTGACTTCGAGCACTTCAAAACAACAAGGAGCCTGCAGAATCAGAGAAACAGATGTTGGATGAATAGCAGGGCTTCGAAGCGTCCATCAGTTAACTTCAGGGAAGTGGTGCAACAGAGAAAGGGGATCACTTAAAGCTACTTGGTGGAAAATAAACAGAAGGTTCCCTGCTCACAGACAGGGTCTGTGCTGACAGGAGGCTCTGGATACTGGCTCTGATCCTTCTGCTCCAACCTCTTCAGCAAGACTGACCCAGAAATGGTTCTTTTCCAGGTATCCCATGACATGTGAGATGGTCATGACTACAGCCTCAAATCATTGCAGATGCTCATTTAAAAAATTGCTTGAGATGACAAGGAAATACTAAAGGACGTAGTCTCTGCTGAACTGTAAGACGCTTACAAGTTCAAGTTCCAGTCCTGCTAACAGAACCAAGAGTGCCTTCCATTGCTGGCATTCTCATTGTGCTCCTGCAGAGAAAAGCAAAAGGGATCATGGGGGTGTTGTGTTATTTGGGCTCTTGAATACAGTGCTGCCTCTGTCTACTCTCCCACCTGAAATCCATTCATAGAGAAGGTATAAATTAGAACCGGACTTCTTTGGTTTCCTACTTGGAGAAAGGGTAAGGTAGAGAGAATACAGAACAAGACTGGAGGCCCACTCTGAGCACAAGTAGTCAGTTTAATCCAGGACCATGGTCCCAGGACACTAAGAGAAAATAACTCATGCCTGGGAACCCAGGCTAGAAGGAAATTCACAAAGGTCACTCCTACTCTGAATCATTCTGATCCCCAAACCGTGCACAGCTTCCCACAGTAAGTGAGACTGTGTCAGGTCCCTTTCTGAGTGGGGGCCACCTCATACATCACTCTTGGGTAGGTCATCTGCATAGGGCCCTGCTCTGCCTACATAGATGGAGGCTGTGATGTATTTCATGTATCTCTGACCCTCTCCAGCTTTTACAGCTGCAGCTGGAAGGTTCTTCCTGGACTCTGCTCAAGTCCTTGACCCCAGTACACTCTCACACTGGCCCCTCTACCCATCTGGCTCCCTGCTCAGGAGCAGCACACAAAAGTGGTTCAAGGTGCAGCTTCAATTTAAGGCAGGCTTAGAAATTCCATCATGAGGAGCGGGTAGGACTGGAGAGAGACTGACCCATGGGCAGGGACTGAGTTGCAGTGTTATGGTTGATACATTGTGTCAACTTGGGGATTCTAGAGGTTTGGCTAAGTGACTCAGCAGTTCTGCATCCTGGGGTGAAAAGGAAGTGCCCTTCCTGCTCTAGGATGTTGTTCATTGTGCAATGTGAGAAGTTTTGAAGGTTAAATGAGTGACTGAGCAGGGGGTGGGTCCTTACTCTGTGTCATCCTGAGCCTGTGCAGGAGGAAGGCACAGAGATTGTGTGAATGCTACATGCCCCCTGGGTGGGGGTAGCGTGCTTACAATATAAGGGAAGGAAAGAGGCTTGCTCTCTCTGCCACTCTTCCCTTTTGCTCTTGTTGCTTTGCTGTTCTGCCGCCATGAACTGTTGCCCTCTACCATGTGCCACTCTGCCTTGGAGCTAGCCGAGTATGACTGAAACCTCCACAAACTGTGAGCTAAATAAACTTTTCCTTCCTTAATTCTGGGTGTCAGGTATTTTGTCTCAGCAATGAGAGAAAAGTAACCAAGACATACAGTTAAAGTATGTCTTACTCTTCTTACAAGAGTAAGAAGTCCTAGAGCACTACTACACAGCGCAGTGACAGCAGACAATGAGAGTGTCCTATATATCTCAAGAAGAAGGAATTTTGAATTTTTCTACCATAAAAAATTAATGCATGGTAGCACACACCTGTAATCCCAGCACATGGGAAGCTGAGGCAGAAGGATCGTTGCTAGTTCAAGGCCAGCCTGGGCTACAAAGTGAGCTCAAGGCCAGCCTGAACTGCATAGCAAGACCCTGTCTCAAAAAGACATCAACAAAAAAAAAAACTGAATTGAAGAACTGATAAAAGTTTGAACAGATACGTATATTTATCCCAATTAAACAACTCATACATGTATCAAAACATCACATGATACTCCTGTATTATTCAGGATTATTGTCATTTTTACCTATTTGTTAAAATAAATTTCACTTAAAACAGTCAACTATGACTCTAAAATTAAAAATTAATTTCTCCTTCCTAATCATTTCAGTCAAAAACAAAAGTAGTACATTCCTAGATGTCATTCCTAGATAAATAGAATGTTGAAATCAAATCTATAATAAATTCACAAGTCACATGTTTGTTCTTTCTCCAAGAATTGTTTTATCATCCAAAATAAGTAAGACATTGTTTGGGGTGTGGTGGGGGAAATAAAGATGAATGAAAAGTTCTGCCCTTATGAAATGTGCAATCCAGCCCCAGAAGTAAGAAACAAGTGTGATGGTTCAATCAGATTTGAATCATGGAATAAGACCTCTGAGCTTTCAATATTTCCATAGGATCATCCAATCTGACATCCTGAAATTCAGCACCTTCCATGTAGACAATTCAAGACTCTTTACATCAAATCACTTCACCTTGGGACAACTCTAGGTGATGAAGATTTTTTTGTATAAATTTGAAATTCATGTATTTGTAGCTTCAGCTACTAGGTCTATACCAGCACCTCAAAGGAAAATCTAAATATTCTCTGCTAGCCATGTAGTATACCCATCATTTAAAAGTATGTGTCATTCTTCTCATCCCTGCAAAATTCTTCTCTTTTCAGAAACACCTCTAATTTCTTAAATCATGCTTCATGCTACATAGTTGAAGTTATCATAATTAAATTATAAGTATTCTGTCCACTTTTCTTAATTCTGCTTACCTTTCTTTTTTTATTTTAAAGACTACTTTAAAAAAAAAAAGAACAATAGCAAACTGCCAACAACATAGGCAAAAATAAAACAAAGCAAAAACAGTAAGACTGATACAGAGTTTCAGAACATTATCTTTCTTGTCCTTTTGGGAATATAGAAACGATGATAATGATAGTATTTGAAGAAGAATTCATTTAGAATAGAGAAGTGAGGTTTTTCTTCCTAATTTGGCCCAACACTGCTTCATTACTACATATGCTCCAGTCATCTTGTAAATCTCCTGATCACATAACTGTTAGTCAGGACAAGGCCAGGGACAGAGCTCTTCGGCACCTTGCAAGAAAATTCACAAAACCACTCTTCCCTTTGACATGTGCTGAACCTCCAGCACTCTTGTTTGCGTTATGATCTCTTTCAGCAGAGTTAATCCAGAAGCAATATTCAAGTCTTCTGCCTGCCCCCACCCTTGCTTGACCTCGTTGTCTCTACTCAAGAAAAGAACGAGAGAGATTCTGCCGGAGCCAAGCCAAGCCAAGGACTCTCTCCACCCCTTGCATCACAATGTTGATAAAGGTGAAAACCTTGGCAATGGCTGACAAAGTGCTCCTCACCACCTCCTTCCCTCTCTCACTTCATTTTTGCGACTCCCACCTCCAATGCTTTGTTCACCCAAACTCAAATCCTTGCTTCTCCCAAAATAGGCCAGGTAGAGGCCTGAGGGCCTTTGCACACAGCCGCCTTCTGATCGCCTGCAAGACACCCAATGGCTCCCTCACTCCACGTCAAGATCCCTTCGTATTACCTGCTGATGGTGGGCCCTCTCAGCCATTCCACATACAGCCTCATCTGCTGCCGTTCTTCACTGTAGCCTGCTTCACATTTCTCTCTTGTTTTATCATCAAATGAAGTTTTCACGATTGTTCACTGTCTGGACTAGAGTCTGGAACACTGAGCTGCATTCTTGTCTGATACAGCTCCGGTGTTTTGTGGATCCCGCACGATGTAGGCATTCAGCAACTAATCCCTGGGTGATTGAACAATTGTTATAGTTGATACATTGTGTTAACTTGAGTCTAGACACTTAACTAAGTAACTGAGCAGTTCTACATCCTGGGGTGTAGAGGACATGCTCTTACTGCTCTAGGATGTTGTTCATTGTGTCAACTTGAGAAGTTTAAAGGTATAACTAAGTGATTCAGCAGGGGACCAGGGTCCTCACTTTGTAAATATCCTCAGCTTGTGGAAGAGGAGGGCACAGAGATCAGGTGGGTGGATAGCCAATATACAATATAAGGGAGGAAAAGAGGCTTGCTTCCCATCTTTTGCTCTTGCTAATTTTGCTGTCTTCTGCCACCGTGAACTGTTATCCCTCTGCCATGTCACCCTGCCTTGCAGCCAGCTGATTATGTACTGAAACCTCCACAAACTGTGGGCCTAATTAACCCTTTCTTCCTTCCTTAATTTGGGGGATATGGTATTTTATCTCAGCAATGAGCGAAAAGTAACAAAGACAATGATCTTCTCATGACATGGCTTAGACTTAGGTTTGTGTTGCTAGGTTTCATTATTGATTTGTTTAGGGAGCAGGAGGATCCTCCGGCTGTTCAGTTCTAGCCACCAGTGAGCATTAGATAAGGATTTTTTTTTTAAACGTGGGCATTATATGACTCTTACGTAAACTCTTTGCTTTTAATTTTTCTTTTCGTTTTTCTACTGTGATGAAATAATCACTTTTTTCCATAATGACAAAAATTGAAATACATTCCATAATTTATGTAATTGATATTATGTAAAAATTTTCCATTATAATGTTTCTCATAATTCAAATGTTTCTTCTCGAAAAGATTGTAAAATCCTCTCTATCTCTGTCTCTGTCTCTCTCTTTCTCTCTCTCTCACACAAATGCACACATATGCACACCCATTCACACATTTCTAGGCATATCAGACAGCATTTGTCAGTGTGCCCATCCACTAACTCTCCCACGTAGCTTTTCCAACATCTTTTCTGGCCATATGTCTCCATCTCAGGTGAGAGGGTGTCAAGAAAACCTATAACTGAGGCTCCATTTATAACACCCACCATGTTTCCTTCAAAACAATCCAGCAATCCCATCATACAGTGAAGTGAGATTAACACAATTTTGTAAACCAACTCCATTCTCAGTCATGTGCTTGGTGGCAAACCTATCTGTGTCTCTACCCTATATCACCACTCGTGAGTTTTGCAGAGACTGGATGAGACCCTTCCCCTCTTTGAGTCTCAGGTATGTCATCAGTAAGGTGGGGTTGATGTTGATTTGTATCAGGCGATAGTGATGAACAAAACTGATCCTTTCCCTGTGTAGTCTCCCAGTCTGGAGCAGAGGAAAAAAGAGAGGTATGCTGGGGATATAGCTCAGTGACACAGTGCCTACCTGTCAAGCACAAGGTCCTGAGTTTGATTCCTGGTACAAAAAAAATTATTTAAAAAAAGGACAGAGGTAGGCATGTAAGACATACAGCAAGACCAGTTCTGATCCCAGAAGTAGAGGAAGTTCAGGAATAAGAGAACTTGCAGGGCCGGTTGAGGGCAGAATGAAGAATAGGTCAGACAGTGGCAGAGGAAGTGATGTGAGGAGCAGAGTGGCATTTATAGGGCACTCCCGTGCAGCAAAACAAAGGCTGGATATGGGGAGCAGAGAAGAGGGAAGCCTCGGAGCGTGTTCTATGACTCCAGTTCCGTCTGGGTTCTTAGGCTGTGCAGGTAGCCCTCCTTCCCAAAGATCTCTTGTCATGGCAATAAAGACCACCCTCGCGCTATAGCCCCAACCCATGAAAGCTGCAGGCACAGAAGTTCATTAAGAGCTACTGCCCATTCCCCACCCCCCATCCCACCCACAAACTTAGAGCCCTACCTTTCCTCAATAGCTTCATTAAGCAGCAACACATTGGAGAAGGCAAATGAAAGGCCTTAGGCAAATGTGCCCTGTGCTTGCAGTGGAATTTCATTTGTGTATCAATTAAGCCTGAAACCTAGAACTTCCAAAGGAACAAAGGTGGCCTTATTGTACCTGCTTCCTGGATGATTGTCAATGTGAGTCCTTGTGCTGTCTGCCCAAACAATGTTGAAAAACTAAAGATGCCACTACAGCTTTTTAACCTCCCCTTAAGGGCTAGCAACTGATTCAAAATAGGTGTTATGAGCATCTGATCCATAATCAGGCCTCCAGAGTTCAAGTCCTGGACCCATCCCTCTCTATGTAAATGATACAAGCAGGTAACTCAAATTCCCTGAACCTGAATATCACCATATGAATCAGACAGCAATGATAGCACCCACCTGATAGGTGGTTGAAATCAAAGATAAGGTCACATCATGCCTAGGACATAAAAAGTGCCCAAGGAATACTAGCTGGTACTAATATTGATTCATTTTTATATTCTATGGCTTCTGTTTTCCAAAACTGAATACACATGACACTACACTGGTTTGGGAATTATTGAAAAAATGAATCACTTCCTGTGCTTCCAAGGAGTATGGAGTTGAGATGTTACTATGGTGATGGGGTTCTGGGCAGGTTCCTAAGTTCTTGTGTGTGACAAAGAATTGCAAATGGCACACTATGGTAAGGAAACAGAAGCAAAGCTTAATTAGGTGACTGTACTGTCAGAATGAGCGGCCTCGTGCAGGAGAAAGAAAAATGACATGAGCGCTGAGGGCAATGGGTTAGGGATTTATAATGTTGCACCGGGTCTAGCACACCTCCCACTGGATCTTCCAGAACATCGTTGATGCATGATTGATGGAGTGCTGAGTCATATCAGCTGTATCTATGGTGAATGTCCTTTCCTCTAATTCACTCTGTTAGAATTGAATGTGTGAGATGCAGTCCATATGCATGAACCTTCAATGAGCTCCAAGTGAAGAAAGGTTTCTGAAGGTGATGCAGGAGGCTCTGGCATACAGGCATCCTGGTTTCGATTTTGGAATTTTCTAGGGCAGACTCGAGGGTCTCTGTTCTTCTTATCTCTGCATCCAGGTAGTTAGGTCAGCCCTGGGGCACTGCCCAGGCTCAGGTGAGTGGAGTGGAGTGGTTTAATAGTGAGTGGAGGGGAGTGGTCCTGTAGCCCCAACTGTACCATCACTATCACAGATAGATAAAATATCAGCCAGAGTCACAGCAGGAACCAGATGGCATGCTCCTTAGGGTGGGCTTTAAAGAAGAGACTATTTATAGTGGTATGGTCAGGGATGCTGAAGACCTGGAGACCAGCAACAGTAGAATGGTATAGCCACATATTGGCTTAAAGGTGTGAGAGAGGACACAGCGCTACTGGAACAGGCCAGTTAGACCAGGGCCCTGAAAAAAGGTTCATTTGGCACTGCCAGAAGCATCAGAATCAGGGAGCAAGTGGGGGAAATAACACACACCAACAACCACCTCCCCTTTCTGTCCTACCCTCTTCCTGTCCCACTAGAAGGCAGAAAACAAAAGCGCCTGGGTGGAGGTCCCCTTAGAGTCAGCTTTCTGCGGCAAACAGGAAGAAAGAGGAGACCGTGGGTAAAGACAGAGGCAGAACATTGTAACTGGCCTAAGGAATCAGCCACATTTTAGGATGTATCTGTGGCTTGCTGACCCATTTGCATGAGTCATTTTATACTCAGAATAAAGCTGGGAACAAGGTACGAGGTATCTTTCCCACATTTGTCAGAAGAAACTAAGACTTTCAAAGATCTAATGCCATGTCCATATCTGCGCTGTCTGGCCTAGTCTTGCTCTTTGACACAGGCAAGTGTGCTTTCCACTTTGCCACAGGGCTCCTTCCATAATTCAGCAATGTCCCTGGAGTGCTGTAGTGGAGATAGTAATAGTTGCTGAGTAGAAAGTTTTCTTCTGGTATTTGTCACCCCCTTGGCAGTTAGACACAACCATAAGACTATTTATGACTAGTGCAGCAAGAATGGAAGTTACATCAGTGACTTCCAGGTTGAAACCATAAAAAGGCAATACATGTACCATTGCTGGATCCTGTAGTGAGGGCACATCAGAGCCCACCTACATCCCCAGATTTTCAGGCTGTAGGGTCCACGCTGTTGTCATGGCCCTCTAAGTGTGCAGGGGGTAATCAAATCAAAAAGCCATGTGGATCTAAATATGCTCCCAAAAACTTGGCTCACTAAGGTGAGAATTTCAGTTTATAAAAATCCAAAAACTAAGAAGTGCCTCTTGAGCTTTCATACTGCATAAGACATAAGGGAAGAGACCATCAGTCCATATGTTCTGATAATAAATAAGATAATTTCACTAATATCAAGAAATCTGACCTACCTATTATATAATAAATGGTCCTGGACTCAAGGATCATGTACCCAGCTAGAAGCAAGACCTGTTCTCAAACAGAGAGACACAAGCCCAGTTGAATAAAGAAGGTAAGAGATGGTGAAGAATCACAGAAACTTCAAAAAGCACTCAGTATGACCCGAAGAGTCCACAGGACTGTGATGAGTAGGATGGATGTTGATAGACGGAGACATGAACAGGGGGTAACCTAGATTCCGATGCTATGGTCAAGACCGAAGCGGGCCAGGCTTAAGAGAAGTGATTGAGCAAAGGATATAAGATGGGAAAAGGTCAATGTGGTGGCCCCAGAACTCCCAACCTGGGAGTGCCACACTGTCCTGTGCTAAGTAGGTCAGTCTAGGTAGGAGACAGAGCCCCACCTAATGGACTAGGATGTAGACACCAGTTCAACTTCTCAGCACAGTCTGTGGCCCCTTGGAAATACTGCCTGGAGGGAAAGCACCTACAGCATTAGTCATTCTATCTCCAAATTGGTGTTTGGAGTCAACAATCCATAGATCTTAAAGACCAAGAGAGAAACAGACAAATAGAAGAGGGCAAGCATCAGGGAAAATGTGTGGGCAGAGAGAGCTTACAGCTGAGACAAAGCCCAGGTTATATTCCGCTCGTGATCAACCCAACCAAACTTGAACCAGAAAAGACGCTTGCTTGCTCTATAAATGTGAGTTGCTATTATTGAA